TGTTGTAGAGTTGTAGGGAGTATTATCTGTCCCTCTATAGTCTGGTGCAGTGGGTGAGTTGTTGTAGAGTTGTAGGGAGTATTATCTGTCCCTTTATCGTCTGGTGCAGTGAGTGAGTTGTTGTAGAGTTGTAGGGAGTATTATCTGTCCCTCTATAGTCTGGTGCAGTGGGTGAGTTGTTGTACAGTTGTAGGGAGTATTATCTGTCCCTTTATCGTCTGGTGCAGTGAGTGAGTTGTTGTAGAGTTGTAGGGAGTATTATCTGTCCCTCTATAGTCTGGTGCAGTGGGTGAGTTGTTGTACAGTTGTAAGGAGTAGTCCCTTTATCGTCTGCTCATGCCCTGTGTTAGAATATTTGTCTTCCTATTTTTCTTTTCTTTTTTCTTCTTACATTCTTATTTTCTCATTTCAAAATCTGTGAATTGTCCATATAATTATGAAGGCAGTTATAATCTGTTTATTTTTAAAGATGCACTATGCAACTTTCTGGCTGGGAGTCCATCACCTGCTTGTTTCAATCGATATTTCATAGCTCTACCTTTAATGTTCCATAGTATGACATTAAACAACAGAATATAGAAAGGCTCAATACCAAACTGTGAAACATTCCAAACAAAGCAATAACATCTCCATGGAGAAAAGCATTTGATGGACCCTCCACCAGAAAAGTTACACAATGCACCTTTAAATTATTAAGACCACCTTCAGACGCTGGTTTGTGAAATCAGGAGACTTGTTTTCCATCAGAATCAGAGCAGCTTGTTTGCTCCTCTTGCTGTAGTGAGTCATACACAGATGGTCGCTGACACTTACGTGGCTCTGAGATTTCTACAGACTTTTTTGTACATGTTAAATAGCCTCTCATTTCAGTGCCACAATAATGCACCACAACACAGGTGTTTGGTTATTTTGGATCAGGGATTTGTCAAAATAGCCTCTGTTTTCTTACCCAAGTACCCAAACACATGACTGTAAATGTAAAGTAGGAGTGGGAGCTGCTGATGTGTTTTTCTCCTCCTGATTGTGTTGATATTTTTGCATTAGATTTGAAAAGTACTGTACTGTAGATGTCTTGGTTAAGGTTAAAGGTGCACCGTGTAACTTTTCTGGTCTAGGGTTCACCAGCTGTCTCCATGGAGATAATATTACATCACCTGAAATGTTCAACTGTCTATCATACATGTTTTGATTACAGGTTTTATTGCCAAAAATTCTGAGAAAAATATGTATTCTAAGTGTGAGTGGGTTACCTCTCCACAGATCTGACATGTAACTTAGCCTGGTTTTGTCAGTTACTTGTCTCTTGTGGTGGACCCTGCACCATCAGCTTACAGTCCACTAAGTTTTCTATTTTATTTTATTTTATTTTATTTTTATCAACAGTTTTTCTAGGGTTTCAAGCTTCAACAGTATCTTGCAGAGTATACAATATCACCCATTTCTAATGAAAGATTAACTGTTCAATTTCATTTTTGGATGTCTGAATGAAATGATTATTAGGGAAACCACTCAAAACTAATAAATACAGCTCGATTTTCAAGTTTGGTGGTACAAGTTAGATTTTGGGATGGTCATTTAGAGGACTCTTTAGTTAAAAGAAAACAAGGTTTGTGTGGTTATTGTGGGATAGCCAGCGGAAGTAACTTGAGCCTGTAGCTCTAAATGCAGCTTTAGCTGTAACATGTCAGCGGCTACATGATCTGAGCTGCACCTCCTCTGAGCTCACAGTTTAGACCAGAGCCAAGGGACATTTACATACACAAAGAGTCAGGATCACAGACCAGGATCACACTTGGTCTATGAGGGAAATGTCTCACTGCCTTATGATGATTTTAATGTTCTTCATATCAAATACCCAGAGGTTCATAGAAAAGCGGTTCAGACTGTGTGCATTTGTGTGAAGGGATTGCATGTTTAATGTTTCTATCAAATATTTCATAATCATTACTGTTCTATAACATATTTATTTACCAATAAATTATATTTTTTCCTTATAAAACAGTTCCTTCTCAGAGGATGCTAGGGACCCCTGTAAAAGATGTGCTGTTATTAAAATTATGCTGAATATTTGTATGACCAAATGCTATGGTTTTAAACATGTCTGATCTACTTTATTCTTAACATACTAATGCTAATACTTCACTTTAACAATAAGCAGTCCACACATGGATGCCAAGATTATTTTGTAATCAGACAACAACATATTCATAAGAACAAAAAAAAAAAAACTGTGACAATTTTAGAAGCAAAAATAAGTTTTTTTTTTTTATATTATTATTTATGTCTCATCGACAGCTAACTACACTCTGGAGGAATAGGGATCTATCACACAATATGAAAGTAACACTAAAATGTGATCCTGTGACATCCCAAGTCTACATCAGACTGTTTAGAGTGGGACTCAATACCTCAACTCCTCCCACACGTCTCTGTAATCAGGAACACACAGGTTTAATCAGGGCAGTATAGTGTGATGTCACCAAGTGCTTGAAATCACAGTGGCCTTTGGAGGCAGCATACATTCACTTTTTGACTGTTATTGGCCATAAAGCTGGAAAATTGACCTAGTCTGAACTAAAACTACCAAAAAAGACTAAGAACAGTGGTCAAGGTTATTACAACACCACAGACACAGTTTAGTACCAGTGAAAATTGTATTTCCTGTTTAGTTCCACTTTAAAGAAATGACTGTTATTACCTAATGGTCAGTGGTTCTGAGAGGCAGATCTGTTTGAGGCAGAAACACTGTGGCATGTGTGGTGGACAGAGATGGATGTGTGTGTCAGACCATGTCAGGTGTCCCTCCCATTCATCACCTCACGCCCTCTCTGTATGTAACATGTGCCTGCCTCCTCCAAGAGTCTGTGCAGCTTCTTCACATGCCTTCTCAAGACCTTATATAGATGAAAAACTGCCCACTGAGTCTCCTACCACTCCACTACTCATATAAATACACCACGCTGACCCATATGGACATGTAGTGTGGTCAATGGGAGAGAAGGAATAGCGTTAAAGCTTTAGAGTAATGTATACAGCAAAACTCATTTAAGATTCTGTATTTTTAGGAATGTGAAAGTTCAAACGCAGGTTAAATAAAGTTCAAAGTATGCTCTCTGGTGCTATGATTTTATTATCAATTATTTTCAATTGTCAAGTTTCTTGCATCTCCCTGGACTAGACAATCTTGTGAATGGCCAAAAATGTGAATGTCAGAGCTCTTCAAACTAAAAATGTCACAAAAAAGCAAATCCAATTTTATAATTGAAATTCCTTAAAATAATTCAGTACAGAGGCTCACATGTATTAAAACATGTTTTGTAAGCACAATCACAAAAACATCTAACCTTACATCCTCTTCTATCTATTGAATGGCCATGAATAACACTTTTTCAAATTCATAAAAAACTTAAATAGAATGTATAATATAATATAATATACACAAAATATATTCTATTTTGACTTACTTTCAATAAAATGTCCAGTATTTTCAAATTGGCATAAGTGTCCAAGAAACAACCACATACAGTGGAAGCAAAACAATAATGTATGATACAGCTTCCACAAGGCCGAGGCTTGAGTCATTCAGACGATGAGTCTGTATGAGAGGGATCCTTCTTGTGGAGTGAATGGAACAAGCAAACAGTGAAAAGAGATGGGCTGGAGTAAACAGAAGAGATATTGTTGATGTTTTTGTTGTTATTATTGAAATGTGGACCTTCTCTGTTCCTGTGAAGGCCACAGCTCCTAAAGCGTTACCTCTTGTTTCAGTTGATCACGAGTCAAGCCGCGCATGTCTTTCAGGTATGTTGAGGTCTGCCTCATGTGTTTTAGGCTGGGCTGTGGTCCACTCCTCGCCCGCTGACTGTTCCCTTCTACTCCTTGATTGCAGTTTAGTTTTCAAAGAGGGAATTGCAAAAGGTAAAAATTCACAGGCGCCACAGACCCACCATAAGAGACTGAACTGCTTTCAAAGTCAAGCAGCATCAGCTTTGGCTGCATTAGCCTGTTTGAAATGGATTATGTCTGAATCTGTGTACAGCACCACACATGTGTTTAACATGTATTCTAATATGCTATGGACATTTATTCACTGAAAGCAGCATGAGAAGAGTTGGCCGTTATGCTTTTCTGCCCTAACCTACTATAAAGACATTGTTCTAAATTCTTCATTCTTAAGATTAAATATGACGCATATATAATATTATAAGCTCTGTAATGTCCCACAAGAGTGATATCAACTACAAAAATATCAAAATTTATTTTACAATTTTAGAATTTAAATGATCAGTCATGATTTTTGTCACCTCTTCACTAGACAGTACTAACTGAGAGCTTTTCTGGCTGTAAAAGCAATAGAAACCACAACATGAAAGTCTTTGCTGGGCTTTTGGACGCAATTGAATGCAATCCGTTTGCAAGACCTTGTAACTGAACCTGCTGCTTTGCTGTCTCTACAGACTGCTTTTGCCTCTTAACCTTGTTGCAGAGTCAGTTGACATTTATAAGCACTGGATTCTAAAAGGGCGTTTCAAATCTAAACGCAAGGCTAAAGGAGACTTTTATAGAAAGTGCTTTAAGGGTGTCGAGAGAAAGAGGGACCTGAACACATCAGAGATATTTACAGTCAGTGTAAATATGTGGATGCATGTTTGTAGTGGTTTCTCTTCCATTGCACCTGTCACAGTGACTCTTCCCCTCGACATAGCTGGCTCAAGTTGTGCCCCTCTTGTTCTGGTGCAGGCGCAGCCCATGCTCCTGTCACACCGATCAGGAGCGTTGTCAATTGTTGGCTTTGGTTTCGCTGGATTTAGAAAAAGCAAGGCAGCAATCCACAGCTTCTGCATTTGAGGAATTGAAATGAAAATGAAAACTGTGAATCTGTGGAAACAAAGAACATTTACTTGTGTTGTTATTTACAGTGTGCTTGTTAAATGAGCTTATTTAATGCCGCCTTTCTACCTAAGCCCTTACTCCCACCTCTGCTTTGTCTGTGTGCTCAGCTTGCAGCTCAGGTCCTGGATGACTTGGAGGACGAAGATATTGGATTTGCTCTTGTTGATGAAAAGAAAGGTGCTGCTGTTGCCAAGAAGCTAGGTAAGGCTTTACATGTCCTTGAAAACAAAGACAATATTAAGATCATACAACAATGTAATGTACTTACAAATACACATGATATTAAACATTTTAAATCTACTAAATTTTAAGTTACAATGTTGTTACCTTTTCAAAAACATACCCAGAGTTGTGTTTTGTTTCATTCACACATGTTTGAGTAACCCTTTGTTATTAGTCTTTCTACATCTCCAAAGCTTATAATGCACCATGTGTTGTAATAAAGTCATAGTTTTCAAATGAACAGCTACCATTTACCTTTAGCTCAGTAGAGATTGGCAATCCCTGATCTGAAATAATCCAAATGTTTCTAGTGAAGGTGTATGGAGTTCAAAAATGCAGTGGAGCACTTCTTGTATTATCACATGAAATCACAAGGTGGAACAGAGTATTTTCAATTTGAGAGAAGAACTCAGCCTAAATGCAGCACTTGTGTTGAACGTATATGAATGAAACAAAACACAACTCAAGGTCTGTTTGTGTTGAGGAAACTACATTATTTTAGTCCTGGTTTAGTCCTGGTTTAGTCCTGGTTTAGTCCTGGTGTCCTAATGATGTTCAGTGATGTTAAAAGTAGCCTCAATTAGGCCTGCATGAAGTTGGACATTATTTGCTGTTGCGAAAATCATTTATGAATCCACTTTAGAAAAAAAGATGAAAATACAATATTAAGGGCAGGTGAAAGGGAGATTGGGGGGGCTCAGCTGTCTTTACCTACTCTAAGGGAACGCTCACATTCACCCATTTGAAAACCCCTGCATTATAACATAGATCAGAAAATAGCATCATATTGGCCCTTTAAAGGGTTCAAAGAAAATCTTAAAAACTAGTAAAGACACCTAATAAAAATGTCCATCTATCTTTTCAGGTCTGGATGAGGTGGAGAGCATCTATGTGTTTGCTGATAATGAGATCATTGAGTACGACGGAGAATTGGCAGCAGACACTCTGGTGGAGTTCCTGTATGATGTAAGTTTGTGTAATTATGACTTGTGCTTGATTCATGTACAGTCTAATAATATAGTAGTCACCTTTTACAGGAAAAAACTGAAAATCAAACCCCTAAACCATGAACACGCATTTTGATTGCAGGCTCCTGAAAATGTGTTGTTTAAATCCATTTTGTATTTATTCTTGAGTCTTCAGACCATCTTAAAACTTTTTGGTAGTTATTGCTAATATGTGCACTGTGTCACCATGGTAACTTCTGAAGCTTCAGTAAAACACTGATCAGCTGACTGGGGTTGAGTACACTGAAGGAGTCATTGTCTTATAGGTGATTGAGGACCCGGTTGAGATCATTGACAATGAACGTGAGCTCAAGGGCTTCTACAACATGGACGAGGTCATCAAACTGGTCGGCTACTTCAAGAGCGAAAAATCCTCCCGTAAGTGATCACAACAGTGTCATTCAAACTCTGGATAAAACATTAAATAATATTTGATTTCTTTCATTGGCTAGACTTCATTGAGTATGACGATGCCGCAGAGGAGTTTCATCCTTTTGTCAAATTCTTTGCCACATTTGACGCCAAGGTTTGTAATAGTTAGTAAGTAATAAAACACTACTAATTAACTTAAGTAGTCATAGGGCTTCTCCCCAGCAACAATATGTTATGGAACATACAGGTGGAAATTAGCACTGGTGCTACAACCTGGTACAAGCATCTCTCCTGTTAAGATTAATGTAAAAATTGTGCACTGTCCCTGTCTCATTAAATTTAATAAAAATAAAACAACTAGGAATGCACCAAGCCAGCTTTTTCAGTTCTGATACTAAAGCTTTAAAGACCTGTTGATACACAATATTAACCAATACCAGTGCAGAGAACAAAAATTGTGTTTATTGCCTTAAAACTAACAAACAAAACTGATTCAAATGTGTAATGGAGCTGTTAATTGTCTCTCAAATAACTGCAGAACTGCCTTGTATAAATAAAAATAAATACAAATTCAAATATCACATCCATTTTTTAGAGATGTAACAATAACCAAAATATCGTGATATTGTATCGTCAAAGTTCTCACAATAATATCGTGGACCATTGCAATATATCGAATTACAAGTCTCTTTGCTTAAATGAAGAGTTATGGTGCAGCAATAGCTAAAAAAAAAAAAAGACAGAGAGAACTACATAGACCATGATCCTTTGCTCCATTTCAGTGTAGACTGCAAGAAGAAATAACAGTTCTAAGCACTTTTAAGTTTTAGTTCTTTGGATTAAGTCTTGTCAAGGCATTTTAAGAGGAAAAAGTAGCAGATTAACAGTTCTGTTAGCCTCCACAAAATATCTCAACAAATATCGTACCGTGAGATGTATATCATGAAAATATCATACAGAGAGATTTGGATATTGTTACATCCCTAATCGTGAGCCTCCCCAACATATCGTGAGCTTTACCACGATAACGCAATAAATATCGTACCCTGAGGTTCATACCATGACGATATCGACTTATAGACTTGGACATCGTGTCACTCCTTCCATTTATATGTCTAACCTGGATATCAAATGAAATAAATATTTGGCAGCAATATTTGATCCAGCAAAATTTTCAGTATCAGATTGATGCATCCTTAGGAATAACCGAATCAAAAAGACACACCTTTATTATCTATTCTATCTAATTTTCTGTCGCTCACACTATATGACTTCTCACCTCATCAGACAATATTATAGCCAAACTCACCCCAGAAACTTCTTTAAAAATTTCAGATTGCCAAAAAATTGAAGCTGAAAATAAATGAAGTGGATTTTTATGAGCCGTTCATGGAGGAGCCTGTGACAATCCCTGGAAAACCATACATCGAAGACGAGCTGGTGGAATACATTGAGCAGCATGACAGGTCACCATTTACATTTTTGTTCTTTGTTATTATAATATATTGCGATGTGTGAGCTACTGTTTCCAAGTAATTTCCCATGTGAATCAATAAAGTTTGTCTTAGTCTAAGGTGGCTGCAAAACACCACAATACGTTTTTCAGATGTATTTCAAATTAATTTTACTTCCAAATGTGCAGGCCTACGTTGAGGAAGCTTGAACCTCACAGCATGTACGAGATCTGGGTAAGAAGCTCACAATTTCTGTTCAATGGTGGAAAATAAAGTTATTATAATTACCATTGCATTAATAGGAGGATGATATCGATGGAGAGCACATTGTGGCTTTTGCAGAGGAAGATGACCCAGGTAATGTAGTATCTCAAATATCCTACAAAAAACGCTCTTCTCAAAAATAAAATATTATCAATAATAATGCAGTTACTCCTTGTTTTCAAAGATGGTTTTGAATTCCTGGAAATCTTGAAGGAGGTCGCTCGTGAGAACACAGACAACCCTAACCTCAGCATCATCTGGATTGACCCAGACTTGTTCCCTCTGGTATGAACAATGATTCATGCCAAACTACATAATACATGACTCACATGATGATGAATAAGATGGTATTAGATTTAATAATTACATGAAAAAATACATAAACTGACTCACTGTTGTCTTATTTTACAGCTGGTTCCTTACTGGGAGAAGACCTTTGGCATTGACCTTGCCTCTCCTCAGATTGGCGTTGTTGATGTTGAAGATGTAAGAAAATTATTTAACAAAACTTCCTGCAGGATTCATAGTGTCAGTGTGATACTGAAGGAAAATGGTTCTATTCTGGAAGTCACTTAAGTGCCTTCTTAGTTTAGAAGGACTACCAATAAGGTCAACCCCTGAGTATTAGTATTTCATTCTAGGACACTCTGATGACTTTCATTTTACTAGCAAGACTCTTTATACCTGGGAGCCAGGTAAACACTAGTCTGATATTTTGGCTGGTGATGAAATGGTTCATTCCCTCAGAGTCTTTCCTCTGGAAAGTCTTCTGCCACATTTGCTGCCAAATATGATGGAAAAAGCCTGTAGCATCTCAAAAAATCCATAGCAAGCTCTTTAGTTAACTCCTTAGATAGCCCCTTGCATGGTCTTCATGGATACAGAAAAAACAAACAGATTTCACACAATCCAACAGTCCCTTGTGTTCAGTCCTTCAAAGTATTTCCTCTGGAAGGTCTCGGAGTTAAGCATCTCAAATCTCCATAGCTAGGTCCTTAGTGAGCCTCTAGCATAGTCTCCATGGATAGAGGAAAAAACAACTAATTTCACACAATCCAACAGTTCCAAAGTTCAAAATTGCTCAGTGTGTGAGCCAGGTAGCCACAAAAGTAGCCCTAGAACTAGATTACGTATGGTTAGTCAACATAGTAACATATTTTTATGTTCTATACATTTGAGATGTTGTAATAAATCGCTCGGTAAATTGAATTTTAATCAGTTATTTTAAAAATTATAAGTTTGTTTCAGAGTTTTGTTTTGTTTTTTCCCAGGCTGACAGTGTGTGGATGGAAATGGATGATGATGATGAAATGCCCACCGCTGACGAACTGGAGCAGTGGATCGAGGATGTTCTTTCAGGCAAGATTGACCCAGATGATGATGATGATGATGATGATGATGATGATGATGATGATGACGATGATGACGATGACGATGACGACGATGATGACGATGATGATGACGACGATGATGACGATGATGATGACGATGATGACGATGATGATGATGATGACGATGATGATGACGATGACGATGATGATGACGACGATGATGATGACGATGATGATGACGATGATGATGATGATGACGATGATGATGACGACGATGAATAAGTTTTATTTTTTTAATGTGATTAAATCATTTAATGTGATAGTTTGAAATCTAAAGCTGTATCTGGTAGCTGAAACTACCTTATACTATCTTACTACTTCAACTGGAATAACAGGCATTTACTAAAACTGAACTAATTTGACAATCACAAACTATCACTTTAAATATTGTGTAGCAAACCATTTAGTTTGCTTTTGTGTGGTTTCCTGTGAAACCAGAACGGTAACTCTGGCATGATTCAATGATCCTGCCGGTAAGTTTTTTTAAAGACAAGGATTGACCCTCTGAAGAGCGGGTTTATAAAACAGGTGTGAGTTATCAGATAATCGCACTAATTTAACAAACAGTTTGATACACACCCTTTCTACCGACATTTTCCTATAATGATATTCATGTTTAAATGTCATGTTTTTTACTTGAAAAAGAGAAGAAACACTTAAACCCAAACCCCACTGGACAGTCTTAAATCCTGGCATATCTCCCATGGAAAAAATAATGTTTAGCGGCTTAAAGAATTAAGATCAGCACACACTAGTACATACAATACATGATATAATTATATCAATAACTCATGTATGTATCACTGAATAAAAGTTGGGAGAGTCAAACAGTGCACTGTTCTACGTGTTTTGCTGCTTTTGTAAATGTTTGGCAGTATGTGTTGTATTTTAGGGTACAAGTTCTTGATGAAAAACCATCATACTTGGCTTGAACCTAAATTAATGTGGAGCCTGGTGACGTTTTATGAACTCACAAACCAAACTCAGATAATTCACAGAAATAAAAGTATCACTGCACTGGGCAGAGAATGCAGTATTTAAGATACGTTGTGATTCTTCTCTCAATAAAAACAAAGGTAAAAAATGGATATACGGCTTATGTTTTCTTTATGTTTATGTATTATTCTAAGAAGAGTACATAAATCAATCAATCAATCAAACTTTATTTGTATAGCACATTTCATACATTTGAAATGTAGCACAAAGTGCTTCACATGCAACAGAAAAATTACAATACAATATATACAACAATTTAAACAGAAACATAAAACATAAACATAAAGCTCTTAAAAGTAAAAAAAGAAAAAAAAGAAAATGGAGAGCTAAGATCAGATGGAGACTAAGTAAAATAGTAATAATAATTACATTTAAAACCACTATAATAATAACAATAATAATGATAATTTAAGTTAAAACAGGTAAAAGTTTCAATTAAAAGCAAAATTAAAAAGATATGTTTTGAGTTTACTTTTAAAAATATGAAGCGGACCTCAGATCCTCAGGTAGACTGTTCCACAAACAGGGGCCGTAAAAGCTAAAAGACGCCTCACCGTGAGTTTTAGTTTGGACTCTTGGGAGAGTTAAAAGAAGACTATCTGAGGACCTAAGAGTCCGAGAGGGCTTATATGATAAAAACAGATCAGATAAATAAATAGGACTAAGACCATTAAGAGCTTTATAAGTGGAGTGTATGGTGTATGGAGTGTTGTTTAATATTTCTGTAAAGTTTGTCATAACTTCAGCAGTAATACAGCGTTTTCTGACAATGCATTCTCATATGGGGGGTTGCTCAATAGTTAGATTAAAAAATATACAGGCATGGTCTGAGAAGCCCACCTCCACAACATGGTTGCTATTTGGACAAGTGCACATTTATACGTCTACAAAAATAAACACAAAATCAATTATTATACATTATATTTACAATATTGGCAAATGCAATATCCATTGTGCGAGAGAGTGATTGGTCTAGTCTCTGGTTTTAAGTTGTTGTTGTTTTTTACAGTTAAATGTGCTGTATATGGCCTGCACTCTTGCTGGTTTGAAAAAGGATCTACAATCATAACTGAAGCTTTGTAACCGATGCCTAAACCTGCATAGAGGACACCATAGACCATAGACTGCATGGAAAATCAGTGCAATTATATCAGAAAAAAATCTACTAACCAGACCTGAGGATGCTGGAGGACTTGAAGAAGATAAGAGGGATTCAAGACTGCTTATGGAAACTGAACTCCCTCTGGTAAAACTGATTATTGTGATCTTTAAGTCATGTTATAATGGTTGTTACCTCATCAATGATGTGATGTCATATTTTGCAAGTTACAGCTATCTTTTACCTTTACTTCAGTAGAGATTGGCTATTCCAGGGTTGAAAACTTCCAAATGGACTGTAGTGACCATGTATGAAGTTTAAAAACACAGTGGAGAACTTTATGTATTACCACGTGACATCACAAGGTAGAATAGAGTGTTTTCTGTTTGAGAAAAGAACTCTCAGGTAAGGGTTTGTGTGTTAAACAAAACACAACTCCAGGTATGTTTTTGATGAGGAAAGAATATTTTAACATAGATGAGAAAATAGCAGAATATGAGCTCTTTAAAGATAAAAATAATTTTTAAAAAAAAGGATTCAGCCTGGGTAATTATTGTAAAAAATAATAAAATCAGAACATTTAAAACATATTTTTTAATGTAAATAAATCATAGACCCCGAGATACTTGGACGGAACGGGAGATTGACAAGCGGATCGGTGCAGCTTCGGCAGTGATGCGGTCGCTGTATCGGACCGTTGTGGTGAAGCGGGAGCTGAGCCGAAAGGCGAAGCTCTCGATTTACCGGTTAGTCTTCATTCCTACTCTCACCTATGGTCATGAGCTCTGGGTAGTGACCGAAAGGACGAGATCGCGGATACAAGCGCTTGAAATGGGTTTCCTCCGCAGGGTGGCTGGGCGCTCCCTTAGAGATAGGGTGAGGAGCTCAGTCATACGGGAGGAGCTCGGAGTAGAGCCGCTGCTCCTCCACGTCGAGAGGAGCCAGTTGAGGTGGCTCGGGCATCTGTTCCGGATGCCTCCTGGGCGCCTCCCTCGGGAGGTGTTCCGGGCATGTCCCACCGGGAGGAGGCCCCGGGGAAGACCCAGGACACGCTGGAGGGACTATGTCTCTCGGCTGGCCTGGGAACGTCTCGGGGTCCCCCCGGAGGAGCTGGAGGACGTGTCTGGGGTGAAGGAAGTCTGGGAGTCCCTGCTTAGGCTGCTGCCCCCGCGACCCGGCCCCGGATAAGCGGACGAAAATGGATGGATGGATGGAATAAATCATAACTATATACAGTAAATCTCAAACAAATGCTCTAAATCTCACTCTGAGTTATCAATATTATAAATTACTTTAATCACAGCAACAAAGAAGAGGATTTTATGATCAATCTAGTATTTACCTAGCAGCATCTGCAGTGATGCGGTTGCTGTATCGGACCATTGTGGTGAAGAGGGAGCTGAGCCAAAAGGCGAATCTCTCGATTTACCGGTCAGTCTTCGTTCCTACTCTCACCTATGGTCAGGAGCTCTGGGTAATGACCTGAAAGGATGAGATCGCGGATACAAGTGCTCGAAATGAGTTTCCTCCGCAGGGTGGCTGGGCGCTCCCTTAGAGATAGGGTGAGGAGCTCAGTCACACGGGAGGAGCTTGGAGTAGAGTCACTGCTCCTCCACATCGAGAGGAGACAGCTCAGGTGGCTCGGGCATCTGTTCCGGATGCCTCCTGGGCGCCTCCCTCGGGAGGTGTTCCGGGCATGTCCCACCAGAAGGAGGCCCCGGGGAAGACCCAGGACACGCTGGAGGGACTATGTCTCTCGGCTGGCCTGGGAACGTCTCGGGGTCCCCCCGGAGGAGCTGGAGGATGTGTCTGGGGTGAAGGAAGTCTGGGAGTCCCTGCTTAGGCTGCTGCCCCAGCGACCCGGCCCCGGATAAGCGGAAGAAAATGGATGGATGGATAGTATTCACCTACTGAAACATGTCCCCTGTCTATAATCCTCTGCTGACATCTAGTGGTGACATGTTGACTTTAGCTCGAATAACATTGGGGAAAACTAAAACAACAAATAGTTTTTCATTGAAGAATTAGGCCTTCATGTGTAAGTTTAAAACATGTTTAACCAGCCGTCTAGCCTAAATCAAACCTTATGTGTATAATCTACTATTCAATTACACAAAGTAACAGCCACACAATGCCATTTAGTTGTCTATTTAGGAAGAAAAACATATACTGTATTGATTAATTTTGGCTTACTTTTTTTTTAACAGAATGGTTGTGTGGGGTATTATCAGGCTTAATGTATTTATCTAATCATCATCACACAAGTCTCTCTGGGCCCCAGGAGCTTCTTGTCTTGTGAACATGGCTTTGTCTTTGGCTCTTTTCCAGCTCAGTCTGACGTTCGACAGCTGGTTTTCTCTGAGATGGTTGTCCAGCTGAAGAAAAAGGAGAACAACAAAGTGAACTGTTGAACGAACTTTGAATATAAAATTCGTTATTTTTTTTTTACATATTTCACCAAATAGAATACTCCTTCTTTAAACCAGCCTCCCTAAACATCTGTCTGTTTGTAGTGTTGCTACACGGCTGTCACTGCACAAACATGCTGGTGCTGGTGCACACCTCTCGCCTCACGCTCGACCCATATCTTCCATAAAGCAGCTGTGAGCTGTGTGAAGCTGTCCTGTCTTTGATCTAGCCTGAGACTGAGCCCTGTTGTCTCCAACAACTGTATATGAACTCCCCAAATTCATTTTCCAGGTGTCGATGGTGGTCTCTCTGCATTTTTGTTCACTTGTTCTGTCTTTTGATATACATTATTTACCTGTGTGCCTTATGGGGTCTTTTCTCCAGCTGAGACTGGAGTGGCGTTGTTGCAACAAATGATAACAGATGATTCATCTGCTCACTACTCTGTCACCACATTAAAGTCATTTCATTAAATGTTTTCAAACAAAAAACATCCACCTTTATAAACATGTTCTAAATTACATGGTATTATTTGTAATAATTTTGCAATTCTTTGTTCTCCTCTCATATGTTACTGTTTAAATTTCACTATGTGACCTCAGTCTTGGTATAAACATATAAGCCTCAATATCTCTACTTAAGTTACGTACAGACTTTCACTTTTGTACATCGTTACCTTCCGCCACTGAAACTGTCTTTGCATTCTACTGCATTTTGGGTGGAAATTTTCATGTTGATGATAGAGAGGCACTTTTCATCTCAACTTTTTTAAACAAACTGCCACTTAACTGATGTAAAACTGTGATAATTATTTACCACAAGTAGGGCTGTCACAATAAATACTATATCTTTGTCTTACTACACTGAGATCTGAGCTGTAGAGTGGCCATACTGGCTTGTCAAAGCCTGATCCCATCAGATCTCAGAAGCTCAGCAAGGTCGGGCCTGGTTAGTATTTGGATGCAAGACCAAAAATCAGGTGCCACAGTGGAGCGTCAGTTGTAAAAAAAAACTGTCGTTGTGTCCTTAGGCAAGACAATTCACCCACATTGCCTAGTATGAAAATGGTGTGTGTGAGTGATGGTGGTGGTCAGAGGGGCCGATGGCGCTGATTAGCATGGGAGCCGTGCTTGCGTCAGTATGCCCCATTGCAGCTGTAGCTCCAGTAGTAGCTTACCATCACCGGGTGTGGATAAAAAGAATAATGAATCTATAAAAAATGCTCTGTAAAGCGTCTTTGTGACATGTCTGTGAAAAGCGCTATATAAATAAAGACTTACTTACTTACTGTAGAGGGTAGAATTATGAACTTTTATGACTCATTATAGACACAATTCTGTTTTATTGTAGCTCATATTTTTAACAATATTTCACATTTGACATCTGTTTTATGGTTTCAATATTATTATTATTATATTTACTTCAGCAATCAAAATTTGATTTAATAGATCCCACCAACCAAGTCAAAATTATGAAATAAAAAGATAAAATCTACCATTATAGTGAATGAGGCTAGAATTCCATTTGACCTAGAAGAGCCTGCCACAAAGACAGCTTTCCTAGTTT